CGAATTTGCCGGGAAAAAAAAGGATTATTTCATTTGATGGTATAATGATTAATCCTACCACCTGGGTAAGCCAAGTGCGTTTCCACAGGAGACCGCTTCTGTGGTTTTGAATTATGTATGAATATTGCAGACTGATGAGATAGAACCTTCCAAGGGATTCGTTTATGTAACAGACAAATCTGTATCAGTGTTACGGTTTCCTTTGAACATCTTACATCCATTCTACATGTTCAAAAAATGAGTTGTCTTTGTGGAGATTATGACGTGGGTTTTTAAGTGTCGAGTCGGACACACCAAATCTCAATTAAAAACTGGTCATTAAGAGGAGTTGTTTGAAGAGTGTAAAGTACAGTTGCCACGGAGGATTGGATACCAAGGTCCCAGGATGCCCAAGTCCCTTGTCCCTTCTGTAAAATGGTGCAGGAGGGAGCAGGCATTTAACCTAGCAGTTAAGACACTCTCGTTCCAAGTGGAGAGCCTGGATTCCGGTCCTGGCTGTGGCTTCTCTAACTCCAGCTCCCTGCCGGTGCAGGTCCAGGGAGGCGACAGGGATGGGTCAAGTAATTGGACAGCCCCAGTCACTGTGAGCATGGCACAAGGGAGCTCTGCCTGTTGCTATCTCTCTGCCTCTCAAATACATTTTAAAAAATAATAAATGGTGGCTGGTGTGTGGCGTAGTGAGTAAAGCCGCCATCTGCAATATGGCATCCCATATGGGCGTGGGTTCGAGTGCCGGCTGCTCCTCTTCCAATCCAGCTGCCTGAAAATGTGTCTGGGAGAGCAGCAGAGGATGGGCCCAAGTCCTTGGGGCCCTGCACCCATGTGGAATACCTGGAAGAAGCTCCAGGCTTCTGGCTTCAGATCGGACCAGCTCTTGCCTTTTTGCGGCCATTTGGGGAGTGAACCAGTGAATGGAAGATATTCTCTCTCTCTCTCTCTCTCTGCCTCTCTGCCTCTCTGTAGCTCTGCCTTTCAAATAAATCTTTAAAAAAATAAAAAATAAATTTTTGATGGTATAGTATTTGAATATAACCTACACACATTCTCTCATATATTTTCAATCATCTCTAGTTGCCTCTTTAAATACAGCATAAATGCCATTTGAACAGTTGTTATACTGTATTGTCTAGGGGAAAATAACAAGCAAAAAGTCTGTACATGTTTAGTGCAGATGCATTTTTTTCAAATATTTTCAAATTGATTCTATTTTGTTTCTGCATTTGTTTTCTGTGACCTATACTACTCTGTGCTTAGCTGTCTTGACATATTTTATCTATTTATTTATTTATTTACTTAAAAGGCAGAGAGAGCGCAACAGAGCTTCCATCCACCAATAAATGAATATCCTGTTCTTTTAAAAAAAATAGTTACCCTGGCCATTATTTACTATTTCAGAACTTGTGCTAATAGGTAGTATATAAGAAGTTCTTGCAGATTTATTGTACTTTTCATTTAAATAATTCTTGTCTGTCTCATAGGTGGATTGGGGAAATTTTTCATTTTCTCCTTTATGTCCTTCCTAATGTTGTCATAGAGTTTGTCCAGAGGTCAAGGTAAGAGAGAAAGAGAACTCAGGTCCTGATTCTCACTGTCTTCTGCATTTCATTAAACATTTCCCAGTGCAGTGTTGGCAGTGAGGCACCTGCTGGTAGATACAGCCTGCGACCATGAAGGGCCGTCTGAGGGTTTGGGAGGGTTTTCCTGTTTTATGTCCAACTTTGAAATTTAAAAAAAAAGAAGTCAATGGTCAAAATTGAATTCCCTTATAAAATCAATATGCAGAATGATAATAATAACGTTACACTCTCCGTATGTTTGTGTGCTTATGGTATACGTATACAGTGAACGATACTGCCTTCTCTAATGCTCGTCACCATTCTTTTTCAGTTTTTAGAGCACATTGCTGTATCCAAGCTCACGCTCTCAGAGCCTCTCCCTTCTACCCTCTCTCTCTCCATTTACTCATACAAAGAGCTGTTCTTCCCTTGAGCATTAAGACATGGCATACCATTGATGCATTTTTAAAAATTCTTACTCCTTTTAGACACTGCTTCCACTTGGAATGCAGATTACACATTTCTGCATCCTTTGGCAAGTCCGTGTCATTTTACTTTCATCAACCCTATTTGCATAGTTCCTCACAGCTGACAATTATTTTAATTGGTGGTTTATCATACCAGCGCACTTACTTAAAATGTGCTTATGAAAACCGACCTTTGTCTGGAACACAGACCATGCTGCCCAGGTCCTCAAGGAGTTAACCAGACTGGCTCTCCCTTTGCTTCCCTCCCTGAAAGGTAATTTGGCACACTTCCCAGACCAAACCCCGAAGGTAAAGGTCAGGGTGCAGTGGGTGACACTGCAGTGCAGAATTCAGGCCTGTTCTCACAGCCTGCCCGAGCTGCAGCGCTCCGGGACTCAGTGGGATCTGTGGTTTCAGGACATGATCAACAGGCTCAAGACGGCCCCATGAGAGTTTCCTTTAATGGGGAATTGTGTGAGTGAGTACAGCGGGTGAGTCTTCCGCGTCTCTTGCTTCTAGCATCCGTGTTTGGTTTGGTAAAGCCCTTTGGAGCCCAGAGCTGGGTCGCATGTCTATGGAGCAGGCCCAGGGTGAACAGCAGCAGGTCCTCCTGTGGTTTTCACCATAGCAGAGCGTCTCCGTAAAGAACCCCATTCCCTGGGAGGAGGACAGGCAGGCAGGCGGGTGTGGAATCGTGGCCGGATCCTCCACCTACCCTTCAGACCACTGGGAGGAGAGTTTTCTTTCAGAAGCAACCAGGAGACTGGAGAAAGAAAGAGACAGTGAAGCAGGACAGCTTTGGGAGAAACCTCTACAGCTGGCTCTGGACCCAGAAGACAATGTCTGGAGCATTCACATTTTCCTCTCAAGGAAGACTAAGATTTTTAAACCACTTTATGTGTTTTCTGCTCTGAAATTAGAAATTATATATACATGTATATGTATATATAAAGACTTATTTCTTTACTTGAAAGTTAGGGTTACAAAGAGAGAGGAAGAAAGAGAGAGAGAGATCTGCTTTCCAATGATTCATTCCCCACATGGCTGCAACGGCCAGGGCTGGGCCAGGCTGAAGCCAGGAGCCAGGAGCTTCTTCCGGGTCTCCCACGTGGGTGGCAGGAGCCCAAGCACTTGGGCCATCTTCTGCTGCTTTTCCCAGGCCATTAGCAGTGAGCTGGCTCGGAAGGGGAGCAGCTGGGACATGATATGAGATGTCAGCATCTCAGGCAGTGGCTATACCCACTATGCTGCAACGCTGGCCCCAGAAATGATTTATTTAATTACCTTTGCCCAGCAAAGAATGTTTTCTCTTCTGCAGCCTGGGGACCACGTCTCGGTGACACGCAGTCTTGGCACTGGAGGCACCTGGGAGTGTTCTGGAAGTGTCACTTTGCTTTGTCTTTGCTGCTGCATGGAAACAGAGCTTCCTCGTTACCTTAATTTTTGTGATGCTCTGTGTTTGGAGAAGCCAGCTTTGTGCGGAGCACCTCTTTTGGGCTGGTGCCACTGGGCAGCACGCTGGAAAGAAGCAACAGGCTCCCCTGTGGGAGGCCTCCTTCACTCAGACGTCCCCCATTCACCGCCAGTAGAGTGATTCCTTCCCCAGTGGCCGAATCCCGTAATAGAATTTCCAGCTCACTGATTGCTATCTGGATAGCGAGACCTCTGGCTCATGCCCGCTTTGAAAAAATATTTTTGAAGTTGTATATCGGGGCAGACTTCAAGGCTGCTTCTTGTATCCAGGCACAGGCATAATTTCCATAATGGAAGATTGATAAGAAGCCACTCTTTCTCCTTCAGATCCACTCCCTGAGATCCACAGGTGATAGATGTTCAGATGGCACCTGACCCAACAAAGTACCTCTTTTAAAGAAACTTGTAAATGTCACCATGGCCCACTGCCTGTTGGAAAATCGAGAAGTAACATGTAGCCATATGTAGGATGTCGTTTGCCTGCCTGCCTGCCTGCCTGGCTTCTTTCCTTTCTTTCTTTCTCTTTGCCCATGAAGAAGCCCAGAAGAAGATGGGTGTGATAGCCTAGGAACACCTTCCGGTGGACCCAGAAACCTTTCAAGATGCTGATTTCGAATTCCTTTGGTCAGCCCACTGAGGTTTTCTAGCTGGGCCAGTTTTCCCCACCAGCATCTAATGACCCTTCCAGTCCCCTTGTACTTCATAGCAATAGAATCAGCATCATTCAGACGGGCCGGGGAGCGTGATGAGAAGAGGCAGCTCTGAGCAAAGACAGGCAGCGGTAAACCAAGACGCTCATACACTGGAGTGGTGTCCCAGCGTGCTTCAGACAGGCGCTAGTGGCTGAGGTTGCTCTGAATGCGGACCTGGCTTCGCCTGCCCTCGCTGCGGCAGGCATCCAGGCACAGGTTGATTCTTCTGTCCTGGGGAGGAGACCTTCCTGGCCTGACGCCTTGGCTTGACCTCATCACGTACATGGTCCAATCTGGACTTTATTCCTGATCCTTACTAAATACTTTAGTGAGTAGTAAGTGCTGTGTACTAGCTGGCATAAGCACTGTGGAGTGAGGAGATTGGTATGCACTACAGCAGTAGAGTACCCAGTATACTGTAGTAAGGATGCTAATAACTTGACTAAATACTTGAGTATACTTGGCTTTCACTGGCTAAGCGTTCAACTCCCCCCGCCACCACCACTGCCACCTCCAAGCTAAAAGAATCGTCCTACTCCTGGCCTGTTATTCTCAAGCCGCCTCCCCCTTCTGCCCCTCTGCCCCCCAGCGGCTGCCCATGCCTCCTCCAGCAGACTGGATCAAGGTAGGTGCAAGTGTGGGCCTGTGTGAAGGGCTCCCTCGTGTTCAGAGAAGTGGATGGGGGCTTGTGGCCCACTGCTATGAGTGCCCAAGTCGTGATCTACGTTTGTGGGAAATGCATGCCTTGCATCAATCTCAGTGTTAGCGGAAGTGTTGGCTGCCAGTATGACAGATGGTCTGATTTGTTTTAGTCACGTGACCCGTGGAGTGACAGAGGACTTTTCTCCTCGGGATCCAAGAACAGTTGCTGTGAAGCAAGGTGGCGCGGATGGCACGTCCATGGCCCCTGCATTGCCCCTGCCTGCCCTGGAAAAGGAAGAGGAGAAGGAGGACACTTCAGATCCCCTGGACCTGAGCCCCTGTAGTGCAACATACAGCAATTTGGGTAAGTGCACGTGTCATCTCACTGCTATGGAAACATGGGCTTTTTGTGCACTCGTCAAATGTTCCGTTTTCTTGAACCAGTGTCTTCATAAAAACCATTCATGGAGGGGCCAGTGCTATGGCGAAGTGGGCGAGGCTACTACCTGCTGTGCCAGCATCCCACATGGGCACTGGTTCAAGTCCTGGCTGCTCCACTTCTGAGCCAGCTCTCTGCTGTGGCCTGGGAAAGCCGTGGAGGATGGCCCAAGTCCTTGGGCCCCTGCACCCACGTGGGAGACCCAGAGGAAGCTCCTGGCTCCTGGCTTCTGATCAGCCCAGCTCTGGCCATTGCAGCCATTTAGGGAATGAGCCAGCAGATGAAAGATCTCTTTCTCTCTCTCTCTCTGCCTCTGCCTCTGCCTCTCTCTAACTCTGCCTTTCAAGTAAATAAATCTTTTTTTAACTTTTATTTAATAAATATAAATTTCCAAAGTACAGCTTTTGGATTACAGTGGCTTTTCTCCCCCATAACTTCCCTCCCACCTGCAACCCTCCCATCTCCCGCTCCCTCTCCCATTCCATTCAAGTCAAGATTGATTTTCAATTATCTTTATATACAGAAGATCAATTTAGTATGTATTAAGTAAAGATTTCAACAGTTTGCACCCACACAGACACACAAAGTGTAAAATACTGTTTGAGTACTAGTTATAGCATTTATACACATTATAACACATTAAGGACAGAAATCTTTAAAAAAATATCCATGGAGCAAAAGATGGACCACTGGAGTTACAAATTTTAACTGCCGTCAGGAATAGTCCTATGCCATGTGCTAAGGGTGCTGACAGGGTCCTGGCCTTAAGACCTTCCCTCACCTGGGGAGAAAGAGGTGAACTTGGTCATTACAGTTACGTTGTGATAAATCCAGTGACAGATGCACATGTAGAGGGTTTTTGACACTGTGCAGCAGAGGGTGTCAAGAGATGCCCTCCTGGGGGTAATTCCTGCTGAGTTCACTGGCTGACAGGGGGAGCATTCCAGGTAGAGGCAGCTGTGGGAGCGGCTGGCTGCACGCGGGTACCACGACCATCGAGTGCTGCCGACAGACGGAAGGCGGAACCACACAACAGCACACCTCTCAGGCGAAAACCTTAGAAAGGTTCTAAGCCACGGAGTAACACGATTAGATTTGTGCTTTGGCGCATCTCCTGTGCAAGCTGCCACTGAAGTGGATTGTTCGGTGGCAGGAAACCTGGTGGTTGGACCCCGTTGCAGGAACACATAAAGGAATGGGAGAGGGAGGCCTCACCTCGGACCGTGGGAGGCGCAGCTGGGGACACGTCAGAGAGAGACTGGAGCGACAGGTGCCCAGAGCTGGGAGCACAGAGCCGACGTGCAGCCCAGACTCCTGGCGGGTCGAGCAGCCCCCAGGGAAGGGCGCCCCTGATGGTTGGCGCTGCTCCGGCAGAAGCTGGCGGCCTGCTCCGTCTCTCAGGGAAGCTGTGAGGGAGAACGTGTCTGCCTCAGCCGTGCCTGCCGGGGCCACGGCTGCTCAGTTCTCTGGTCTTCACTCTTCTTTGAATGCCCAATGGCTTATTTAAAAAAAATTCTTTATTTGAAAGGCAAAGATACAGAGAGAGAAGGAGAGAGAGGGTGAGATCTTCCATCCGTTGGTTCACTCCCCCAAACGGCCACAATGGCCAGGGTTGGGCCAGGAAGCCAGGAGCCAGGAGCTTCCTCTGGGTCTCCCACATGGGTGCAGGGGCCCAAACACTTGGGCCATCCTCCTCTGCTTTCCCAGGCACATTAGCAGGGAGCTGGATCGGAAGTGGAGCAGCCGGGACTCGAACCAGCTCGCATATGGGATGCCGACACTGCAGACAGAAACTTAACCTCCTGTGCCACAGTGCTGGCCCCCAGTGCCTTCTGATCTGTCCCCCTTCTCTAAGCGTCCTGCCGTATCCTTCCTTCTGAACACAAAGCCTGGGCAGGCTGGGGATTTCCTGGTGCTCTTCTCCCGTGGAGTCGGGAGGGAGGTGAGTGGTGTGGCCTCCCACATGCGGGGCAGCAGCAAGTCTCTGATGAGCCACTGGAAGCCAGTGGCGTGCGTCACTGAAACATTGTTCTGCCCAGCTTCTCATCCCTCTCCTGTCTTTCCTCTATCCAGTTATCTCAAGGAAAAATCTCTCTAAGGTCTGCTGGGGTGCTTGGCAATGGAGGCGCTCCAAAGAAGGCTGAGAAGTTGAGGTAGCACTGTAGGAGCAACGCCTGCGAACGCCTCTAAAGGCGGGGGGGGGTGGGGGGCTGCAAGGAAGAGACTCCCGAGTTCCGGCACTAGGGCAGGAGAGAGAGTTCACCTGGTCTTGGACACCGCTTTCCTGTTGGAGTAGCTGTCACGGTCAAACAGCTTATTGGACTTCTCCCGTTTCGTATTTCACAGAGCAGACCACAAAGTGGAAATTTTACTGTTGACTTATTATATGCCCTTAGACGGCATAATAGAGTGGGAATTATATTCTAGACATCCTTCCCACACCAGAATTTCGTGATGGCCTCAATAAATGTATAATTTTCACTAAGTGCGTGATGTCTCATGGATCGCCCCCCAAAGACTTCCATTAGCCAACGTTAGTTAATGGTGTTATCTCATTTTCTTCTCCATAATGAATATTGGTAGATAAAATAGAGCATTGCTTCCGTGAGTATTCTAAGCACCTTACATATATTAGGTTCTTTAATCCTCACAACCACCTTAGGAATTATTATCCCCATTTCTTAGAGGAGGAAAATGAGACAGGGGGCCGTGCCCCGAGTCACAGAATGAGTCAGGATTGAACCAAGATTGGATGCCAGTCACTTAGCCAGCAGACTATAATGTGCAGAAGAGTTACAACTGTTTCCTTTGCTTTTTCTTTAAGTCATCTGTTTTCAGATGCAAACTTTAAGACTTAAAAAATATAAGTGCAAAATATGCTAGGTTGTAGATGCCCTATCAGAAAATAGCTTTCTTCCTACATATTGCTTTACTTTTAAAAGCATGTGATAGGCCTGCAAAATGTGCAGTTTCTCGTGTTTTAGGGCTGTGTCCTTGAATCCGTAATGCCTGACACGTGGCTTTCCTTGTCTTTAGAAAGGTAATAGATAGGGTTGACTGCATTTGCTCTACAAACTGAGGTTTTTGTTTTAATTTTTTATTTTGTTGTTATTTTTCCTAACAAGTCTTTTAGCGCACTGAGGACTCTCCTTTCCCAATACTTCTAACAAATCACTTGCATGCTGTTCTCTGAGTAATTCTTTATTATTTAAAGCCCTAGCAACTTGCTAAAAATTGGTATGTTTTTAGAAACTGAACAGAAACAAAACCTTGTAATGCAGTAGCACTAGATCTGTGTTGAATGTTCTGGAGCCATTCCATAAAGACTAGTTTTTGTCTTTTCTTCCTTTTTTTTTTTTTTTTTTTTTTTTTCAAATAAAGCAGAAGTTGGATGGACAGATATGGAAGAAACTAAGGAAAAGCACAGGGTTGCCATCATTTTAAATTTTCAGTTTATTTGGTTATTTTTAAAAAGATTTATTTATTTATTTATTTATTTGAAAGGCAGAGTTATAGAGAAGCAGAGGCAGAGAGAGAGAGAGATCTTCCATCTGCTGGTTCATTCCCCAAATGGACACAATGACCACAGAGCTGGTCCAGTTTGTTTTTTTTAAATTTTAATTCACTGGGGCTGGTGCTGTGGTTTAGAGGATGAAGCCCCTGCCTGCAACTCCGGCATCCGATATGAGCATGGGTCCAGTCCCGGCTGCTCCACTTCCAATCCAGCTCCCTGCTAAGGTGCCTGAGAAAGCAGCGGAAGATGGGCCAAGTGCTTGGGCCCCTGCACCCATGTGGGAGACCCGGAAGAAGCTCCTGGCTCCTGGCTTTGGTCTGGTCCAGCCTCCACCATTGTGGGCATTTGGGGAGCGAACTAGCGGATGGATGATCCCCTCCCCCTCCCTCTCTCTCTCCCCACCTTTCTCCCTTCCTCCCTTTCTCTCTTTGTATCTCTGTCTTTCAAATAAATAATAAATACACCTTTTTTAAAAATTTAGTTTATTAAAATTAACTTTATTAAGGTATAATCTGCATGCAATAAATGGACGGGGTTATTTCTGAAGATTACATCGGAAACTGGATTTAGGAAACAGTGCAGTGTAGCAGGAAGAAAGCCCAGCTGGGGACGTCAGGAAGCTTCAGGCTCCTCCCACGACCGTGCCCCTGCCCTCCGCACGATTGTGGAGTGGCCAGTGAAGGCTCCTGAGCTGCCCTGTAGGGCTGCTGCTAGAAGGCTTTCGTGTGGTGTGTAGCAGGGCCTAATGATGGTGGAGTTTCTCTATTGCTTCCCCCAAATACACCCCTCTTCCTCCTCTGAATGTGTTAGCTGTGGTAGCTAGAAAATGTAGAATGAACTGGAAAGGATTAGTACGTTTATTGCATGGTGTTGAATAAGCAGAACAAAAATGTAAGTTCAGAAAATTGCGGGCTCGTTTTTGTCAGCTGGTGACTGGAGGGGTAAAGGCAGGCCGTAGGACCCGCAGTGGCCGACACGGAGCAGACAAGAATGACCCCTCGCAGCCCCTCGAGGTCTGCCAGTCACAGCAAAGCAAAGGGGCGTGGTCTGGATCTGTGTGACAGGGCCCATTGCTCACATGCCCATGAAAAGTAGCAAGTTAAAAAAAAAAAAAAAACAGAGGTGGGTGCTGTGGCTCAGTGGGTAAAGCCACCACCTGCAGCATTCGTATCCCATACGGGTGCCAGTTTGAGTCCTGGTTGCTCCACTTCCAATCCAGTTTCCTGTTGATGCGCCTGGGAAAGCAGCAGAGGATGGCCCAAGTCCTTGGGTCCCTGCACCCACGTGGGAGACCCAGATGAAGCTCCTGGCTTCAGAATAGAGCAGCTGGGGTCATCGGGGCCATCTGGGGAGTGGTCCAGGGAATGGAAGATCTTTCTCTCTCTCTCTCTCTCTCTTTCAACTCTGCCTT